TGGGAGGGGTTTATTGTCAAATTTGACACTTCAAGGAAGGGTTGATGAAAACTGCCGCTTGCTGGTTTATCCTACCCATGCTTGCTTTTATATCGGTTCTTGCATAAGATTTACTGTTTAGCGTATCTTTGATTTAGTGTGTTACGTTTAATTTGATTGGGAGACGTGTTCGTCAACGTCAACCGACAACACTGCAAGAATTGGCCGTGGCACTGCAAGAGCAGTGGGTCAGATTGACCCAAATCGTGATTGGACGGTTGATTATGAGTATGCCACGACGAATTGCTGAATGTCTGAGGATTGGTGGAGCAATTACTCATTATTAAGACAAAAATCAAAAATGTCCGTCAGAAAAGCTGCCCATATGAACTGTTTATGTTCATGTGTAGGCAATTGGCCTGTTATTAACATACACTGGTTACCTCTAATAAAAACAGCAGTGCATTTCCGCAGTTTTGTATTGTTTCTGAATATCCCCTACGTTTTTTGAAGAGTATATATATATATATACCGGACCATACAGAACAGACACAAATGTGGACGAACATTATATATATATATATATATATATATATATATATATATATATATATATATATATATATATATATATATATATATGTACATTCTATGTTTTATTGTCTAAATGTTCGTCCACAGTCGTGTCTGTTCTGTAAAATGTTTGTGTTGTGCTGTATGATGTACAAGCGGTTGCCAAGCAAAGATACGTTCACGATTTGCAAAAGATGGACAGACAACAAGCTAAAAAAAAAGGCATTTTTCGGACAATCAGGGGCCATAATCAAGGAAATAACGGTCCGATACGCACAGTAACGAAAGGAACCCAGATCTTTGGGATACCGTATTAACATATCTTTAAGTTTCATCAAAATTGGATAAGATTAATAACCTCTAGAATGTCCACAAATTACATTCTTTTATACTATTTGTGTACTGGGAGTGGCCATTTGGTTGGGGAGTTTCGGTTTGATTTTCACTACATTCAAATTCAACAGTGTAACGGTGATATATATAAATGATTTTTTTTTTAATCAGATAAAAATTGTGACGTCTAGAGGGTCCACAAGCTAAAAACGCGATTTTTGGTACAATCAGGAGCCATAATCCAGATAGTTATTGTCCAATATGCACAAATATCAAAAGGAATCGAGATCTTTGGGACATAAACATATACTTAAAGATACATTATGGGAAATTAGATAAAGAGCTGGCATTCTCACTATAATAGTTAACAAGCCAACAGTGAGGCTGATCCCAAAATAAACAGATGACACATACCTGGTCAGGGCTCTATAAAAGTTGAGTGTGCCTGCGCACACACTTGTAAATGTGCCTGCAGGGTCATACTGAAACACAGGGATGTAGCCATGATTTGGTGAGTGGTGTATAAATATATCTGGCAAGCGGAGCGAGGCAAAAAATTTTTTGGGAGGGGGGCGTGGTCTTTTATGAAAATTAAACCCTTCTTGGTGTATTTTCAGAGCATCTGCTGCCTTTTGTATTTGATTCAGTGCAAATCAAATTTCCATTTATTTATATATTCAAATTTTACCAAATTCACTTAATTTTCATCAATTTTTGACACCACCCGACCGAGCATAAAATTGTCTAGCTGTTTCTCTGGATATGAGGACCTTTCGGTATTTGTCGTTTTGTTGGGGTTTTTTTTTTTCAAATATTACTTTATTACTTTGAGATTAAAAATTAAAACGATTCTTAAAACGGTGTTTGTGTTTTATTTGAGTACAACGAATTATGACAACAAGTAGATATTGATAATTAAAACACGTTGTATTATTTGACTTGTTTGTAAAGTTGTTGTACGTGTCTCACGAATATTATTTATTATTACGGTGTAATGAGAATCAGGTCAGGCAGAAACTGAGAAAGCTCTCATCGTCCTCCTAGTCCTACTCTCGGGCCGTAGCAAATCCACGGTCAACACAGGTAAGAAATAAAATAAGAAACATCATGAAAATTTGCAGGCACGTGTTGGACAATTACGACATTCAAACCTGTAACATTAGAGTGCCGTAAATTGGTCTGGGTGACCTATTTACGGCAAATAAACAAATATAAAGACCGTAGAATAATTGTAAAATGAATATGCCTAGGCCTAAACATCTTTTAAGTATAAATAATCAAAATACCAATACATCTTTCTTTAAACTAATCTGGGATGATAGGGTCTACTACGGCACACAAAAATAAATTATGTCGTGACAGACATGGTTTGCGTACGTCGGCTTTTAGTTTAACTTTTACCATAGCTTTGCCGTTTAATTGCCGTGGTAAATTTCGAGCGCCGAGTTTGTGTACAGAGAAGGACGAAGGGGTTTAAATACGACTGGGCGGCTTTCTTCGATTTTTTCTTTGTGCTGGGCGGCAAAAAATAGTGCCAGGCGCAGGCACCGCCCGGCGTGGCTACATCTTTAAAAATGTGCCTGCAAAATTTTTTTTTAAAGCAAATGTGCCTGCGCACGCCGTGCGCATGTGCGCGGAAATATCGATGCCTGTACCTGGTAATAAACACCTACACCAAGTTTGAACATTCTAGCTCAATTAGAAAGAGAGCTATTGTGTTCCAAAGTCTCGGCCAATCAAATTAATTATCGCTCTACTTACCTTGAGCAGAAAATGCTCAATATCGATCTTAGTCAAGGTACTGATGTAATGGAACTATACACAAGTTTCATCACTCTCACTTAATTTGAACTAAAGTTATCGTGTCCCAAATCATCAACCAATCAAATTGCTTATCTCTGCTTACCCTAAGCACAAAATGCGCATCTTCGAAATCCATTAAGGCACTGACCTAATCATCATTACTAAAGTCGGTACGATAAAAAACATATTCTCAATTCTCCATTTCATGATTGAATCTTGAATGAAAGTTGAGCAGCAAATCGGAACCTAATCCAATAAATATCACAGCAGACCTGTCATCATTTATGTTCAAACTGTTATGGAATTCAAGTACTGTTGTCACTTTGTTTAAGTGTCTGAAAAGGTGTCACATTTCGCATGGGGACAGTATATATGGTTGCACTCAATTCCGGGTATTGTACACATCTGATTACAGGTCCTGTTAGTCATTTATTGCTGTCGATGAAGTATGTTTTGCATAATGGTATAGCAAATTAGTTTGTACCAGGGTTCTTAATCCATTTTGAAATGAACCGGCCACAGGTAGGCCTAACGAATAGTCGTCTTTTCAACAACAAACATGTTGGTTTATGCATACTCTATTCACGACAGTAATTGCATAATTCACTAATTGCATAACGTATTCGTGATAATAATAGCTGAAACTCTGAATAAACAAGACCTTTATAATTGCATACTTGTATTTATACATCGCTATAATATCGACATTTATAGTCATATTATTATTTCAGCAACTTGCATTGCATATTCCTACTTTTGCTTTCATCCAACTAAACGGAAGTTATAAATTAGTAAAAACTACAAGTACATACAAATGGTTTTTTAAATTATATTATTCGTAAGCACATGTTAATATAAAAATAACAAAGTATATAAATAACAAAATAACAAAGTATATAAATAACAAAGTAGCACAAATCAGTTTCCGTATATAGTCGGAACTCGGAAATATGCTGTACGTGCGAAAGGTCATGTGGCCAATTGTCGTGATTCAGTTTTGTTTTATTTTTAGTGTTACCAGTATACAATTGTCGGGATTTAATGCAGCAGGAATAGTTCAGATATCTGAGAAGATCTCTTTATCAATTTCACTGGATATTAAAGAAATAAATTCACCACAACAATTAAAATCACGATATAATTTTTTTGTCATTTCATGTACCTGCTGTTCTGTCAAATCGTTGATATTTATTGTTCATATTTTTCGATGGCAATGTTTCTTTTTGCTATGAAATACGCATTTCGGATTAACGCCCGGTTTGAAATAATTTCTATAGATTTGTGAATTAAACTCTTTGCTCTGCCATCGTCTTTCTTTGCTGCGCAGGTATGATCGTCAGATTGATATGGTCTTTTATTGCCGATAATTTGGTTGACCTATATTGGACGTGGGAGGATCTCCGGCTTTTGGAATTTCCATTGATGACGTGCATGCTTGAAGTTCAAGGTCAACGCCGCCATCACTATCTTCAGTTAAATCTTGTTTACGTTTCCTGTTGTCATTCTGCGAGGTGTTCAAGTACTTCAACATTGTGTTTGATATGATTACCTCAATTAAGTTGTTTATTTATGAAATAAGCCGAAGGTATTCATTGTAATGATTGACTCTTTGATGGGTTTCTTAATCGACGAGTAATAATAATTAACTCTTTGTAATCGGCCGAAAGTAGATTGATTTATGATACCATATATAGTGGCCGGTTCATTGTTTTACCAATCAGCCTGATAATTAATTCATTGTAAATCAGCCGAAAGTAGATTGATTTGTGATACCTTAGTGGCCGGTTCATTGTTTTACCAATCGGCTAGATTAAAGATCAATCGGCTAAAGCTGACAAAAAACAGTCGATTAAGATCCCTGGTTTGTACGTTGAAATATTCTTTAATTTGGATTAGGTTTGTCATGTCTAAAATACTATATTTTTGTATGTATATTATTTACACAAAGTCTATGTCTTTTCAGTCAATCGCTGTATCAACGCTGTGAATACAACACTGAGTGGTTTACTTTGATAATATAGCAAAGTTTATCAATAATGAACCTGTTGTATATTTAAAGAGTCATTCAATGTCCGTCTCCCCCTTTTTGGTTTCGGTCATAATTGAGCGTTGCCTGTGTATTGCGTATAGTATCACTGAGTGTCTTCTGTATGTGTACCTTATTCCCCACAAATAATATGGTAAAATAATGTATACTCTCTAAAGCAAATAATTTTTACATTTTGGAAAATTTTAGCCCTGAATGTCCATGACAAACATATTTCAACCCATATTTCTGTAGAAACACAGTAATTATAATTTTAATACATTACCTATCTATGACTGGCATTAGAACTTTAGCTACACCATCAGGAAAATGGGAACATTGAGATAATATTGAAAGGACAGCTGAAAATATCCTACAGCAATCTTTCTTCTGTTCACTCGGCAGACCATTACATCCACCAGATGACATTGAATCAAGGGATGCGACTCTAGTTAACAGCATGATAGGTAATGTATAATCCTTCATAATAAGTGCCTGGAAAAGAAGAAAAGTTAACAAATAACAGATTATAATATGAAAGATAGGTTGCCAGGCAACGAAACATACGCCCACAGCAGCTAAATCGTCCGGGGAGTCAACAAGAGTTGTCGCATATTTTTACTTTTTTCGGTAATTAAACATTTATAATACATTAAAATCTGATTAAGAGTAACAACTAATATAATTAAGTAATTATCAGAAAACCATTAGAATTTGTTTGGTTTTTATAAAGTTCTGCCCCATGCTAATGTTTAGTATACGAAACTTCTAACATCATGGATTTAGTTGTTCAAGTCATAACAATTCAATGAAAATCAATATACTTGTTCGTCTCAAGACCTTAAACTCTGTGTATCAATCTGAAGTCAATCGAATGATAACTTTAGCCTCTAGAGCGTCACAAGATTTTTCAAAGTGATCAAGGGCCATAACTTGGGCAGTAATTATCAGAAATCGTTGAAAATCAATATGATTCTTCGTCTCATGACCTCAAACACTGTGTATAAATTTAAAGTCAATCGGATATTAACTGTAGCCTCTAGTGCATCCACAAGATTTTACAAAGTGATCAAAGGCCATAACTCTAGCAGTACTTATCAGAAATCGCCGAAAATCATTAGGCTTCTTCGTCTCATGACATTAAACACAGTGTATAAATTTAAAGTCAATCGGATATTAATTTTAGCCTCTAGAGCGTCCACAAGATTTTTCAAAGTGATCAAGGGCCATAACTCTGGCAGTACTTATCAGAAATCGCCGAAAATCAATAAGCTTCTTCGTCTCATGACATTAAACACTGTGTATAAATTTAAAGTAAATCGGATATTAACTTTAGCCTCTAGAGCGTCCACAAGATTTTTTGAAGTGATCAAGGGCTATAACTCTGGCAGTAATTATCGGAAATCGCTGAAAATCAATAGGCGTCTTCGTCTCATGACCTTAAACACTGTGTATAAATTTAAAGTCAATCGGATATTAACTTTAGCCTCTAGAGCGTCCACAAGCAATTGTGGACGCCGGACCGACGGACGGGGGTGATGACAATATATCAGTGCTTCACGTTTGACGCGAGCGATCGCTCTCGCTCTTCTCGGCTCGCGCAAACGTCAAAATAGAAGAGCTTTTTATCGCTCTCCTCCAAGGATAAAATCGCTCTCGTCATATTTTACATTTGTCAAAAAACGAACCCCAAACTATAAATAAAGCCCATGTAACCAATCCTTGGTTGAATATGACCAACAAAACAATGATTATGTCGAATCAGAGAATAATTATTGAACCTTAAAATAAATACGTACAAGAAAGAAAGAAAATAGATACAGTCAGAACAGTTTTCCAAATGTTCAATTGATCACGTACGCAGTTGCATCGACGATTCGAGGTTCTCACGCGATTTTCTATAATTTTCAAAAAAGAAAATAATTTACATAAATAGAAATAAATATAGAGTTTAATCAGACAGGCCTCGAAATGTCGCTTTAGTAACTGATCTGTCATTTATAATTTTCCACGTCACACATTATCCATGCACACAAACACGATTAAATGGTTTTGATTCTTATTTTGATCGATGTGAATATCGTAATTAATTTCTTCGACATCGGCAGGACTAAAAATTCGCGCGAATCGCCGCACTAGCTGTAAGTCTTGATGTGAATTCTGCTTAGTAAAACATGCGTCTCAAATCATGTTTTAAGTTTAATTTAGAGGTCTATGACCCTGCCGTTGAGAAATGTGTAGAATTCGGATTCTAAAATATCGGTATAAAATGGAATATCAAACACATCGTTGCACCTGTACATGACACTATACTATTATTAATCACGTGCAGAGACAGTTTATCGCGCCCCCTGGAATTCATTTCTCACATTCCGACTTATTTACGCTAAAAATTATATACATGTATGTATAAAATACTCTTTGGACCAAATTGTTTAATTTTTTCAAATTGTCCTGTAAATTATATGTTTATTTTTTCATTGGACATTAAACGGGAAACATCGAATTGTTACGGTGCATACTTTGTGCCAAAATTATCAGGGCGTCAAAGTTAAACTTAAGATTTTTTCTGTGACTTTTGTTTATGGTTTTCATCAAGTCCAATCTGATTAAAATACAGATCTATATTTCGTTTCATTTTTTTATACTTTTGATGGCCTACACTACATGAAGATCTGACAAGTTATAGCGATAGGTCACGTCAGGGGTCAAAAGATCGACTTTTTCTTTTTATTTATTCTAATAAATATCGAAACACATATCTTTATTTCCTAAGTATTAATGGTCAATAAATGGCTTCATCTATGGTCAAAGTATAGTATGAAATACATGAATGGTCCTTCTAAATAATGGATTGCTCCTCTATTTTGAGTTGAGAAGTGCTATTTTTGCAGGAGCGATTTTCAGCTGTTGTAATTTTAGAAGAGCTTTTTATGGCTCCTCTATTTTTTTTAAATGTGAAGCACTGATATATGACCACATTTTAATGTGGGCGTATAAAAACAGTGATCATATAATTGAGATGCTGCGAAATCAAGAAAATTTTGAACCAATTTATATGAAACAACTTGGTATTTTATAATTATCTGTGTTAAGGCTTAAATAAAAATTAAAGTGTTAATTAAAAGACTACCTGTAATAAGGTGCTGGGTTCCCATATAGACTGACTCAACAAGAGTTTAGTTTGTAAATAAACAGCATTAGTGGTTTGCATGTCATCATAGCTGTAAATAAAATAATATATTTATTTGTCCCTAATTTAGCATTATTCATACATAAACATAAGGCTTTTACTGTTAGGAGGCTAAAATTTGTTATATACTCTTCAAAAAAAGTAGGGGATATTCAGGAACAATACAAAACTGCGGAAATGCACTGCTGTTTTTATTAGAGGTAACCAGTGTATGTTAATAACAAACCAATTGCCTACACATGAACATAAACAGTTCATATGGGCAGCTTATCTGACGGCCCCATTTCAATCGCAAAGAGATACACTGTCAAAAGTGAAAATGGACGTTTTTGATTTTTGTCTTAATAATGAGTAATTGCTCCATCAATCCTCAGACATTTAGCAATTTGTCGTGGCATGCTCCTAATCAACCGTCCAATCTCGATTTGGGGCAATCTGACCCACTCCACTTGCAGTGCCACGGCCAATTCTTGCAGTGTTGTCGGTTGACGCCGACGAACACGTCGACTGATCAAATTAAACGAACACACTAAAGCAAAGATACGCTAAACAGTAAATCTTATGCAAGAACCAATAGGAAAGCAAACATGGATAGATAAACCAGCACGCGGCAGTTTTCATCAACCCTTCTTTGAAGTGTCAAATTTGACAATGAACCCCTCCCACGTGTATGGCGCTAATGTGTGTCGCATGTGCAGCTCAGTGGTTCTTTTGGGGCGATAAGTTCTTCATCTGTGAACATACTCTCAAAGCATGTCAAATGTCCATGGCTATTTATCATATCGCAACCTGCATAGGTATTTGCATTTCAATATCCCCTACTTTTTTTGAAGAGTATATTATACACTTTAATCCAGAGATGCTATTTTGCCCGTATATTCTGGACGCGATTTTCTAAATGTCCGACCTAGAATATGACCAATCAGACATAAATATATAGTTAATAATATTAGCCAGCAGCTGCCAGACAGGATATGCCCACATTTTGCAAGAGATAGATAGAGAACAAGCTAAAAAAAAAAGCGATTTTCCTTACAATCGGGGGCCATAATCCAGGTAGTTATGATCTAAACTGCGCAAATATTAAAATGGACTGAGATATTTGGGATATAAAGATATATTTTAAGTTTCATCAAAATCTCATAAAAAAAGTGACTTCTAGAGCATCCACAAGTTAAAAACGTGATTTTTCGTACAAGCAAGGGGCCATAATCAAGGAAGTTACGGTCCGATATGCGCAACAGTCGACATGCACCAAAATCTTTGGATTATAATCATACATTTCAAGTTTCATCAAAATCAGATAAACATTGTGACTTCTAGAGGGTCCACAACCTTGGTATTACATACTTTTGGATTGATTTTCACGAAATTCGATCTCAACCAACATTACTGTGTAACAGTTACATAATTGAGTGTTTTTTTAAATCAGATAAAAATTGTGACCTCTAGAGCGACCACAAGCTAAAAACACGATTTTTCGTACAATCAAGAGCCATAATTTAGGAAGTTCTAATCCGATATGCGCGAATATCGAAAGGAACCAGAATCTTTGGGTTATAAACATGTATTTCAAGTTTCATCAAAATCGGATCAAAATTATGTTATTATTTCCTGTGTCAATGATTTTTAAAGGTGGGAAATAATGCCCATGATCGTATAATAGTGAGTTGATAACCTATTGAGCAAAAGACAGAAATAATTATGTTTTGACTTTCTTAGAAAATATGAAATTCTCGCTTTAAGACAATATTGGGTCCTTGAAAAATTGATGCTTCACTCTTTCTATAGACTCAAATCACACGTACTTAATGAACGTGAATGATATATTTATATATAAAAAACAGTAAAATCATAACCATTGTCAAAATATCCATCAAATTCTGTCTGTTTATTAACCTATGGTTGGTAGACCAAATAAGGTAATGTTCCCCCCTCTGGTCTTGAGAAATAAAGAGGTTTATTCCATATTTGGGATGGAAATTAGCATCAAGGCTAATCTAAGACGTGCAAAAATGAGGGGATTATAAAAGAGGGTGTTGAGCGAAACTGGTCAGAGCTCACCCAGGTATTCCAAGCAGCTATTATTTATTGAGAACGAGGAACCTTTGAAGCTATTCCAGCTTAGCAATAAAGTTGTAAGAAACATTTAACCTGTAGTGTTATATATTACCATCACGAAGAAAACAAACACAACAAGGAAAGAAGTCTGATAGTACTACATTGATTAACTACGTAATCTGCCTTGATTGACTTTTTTAATCTACATGATTTCCTTTATACGTCGTTTTATAACAAATCATGGTGTTTCCTTTGTCAGACATTTTTCCCTTGATGCCGGTAGACGTGATTAAAAGTAGTCAAAGATTAGTCAATAAACGTGTACGTTTATTTAACAGTCATTCTCAGTTCATGATCTAAGTAATTAGTACAAATGGTAATTTTGAAAATCCTGTAAGCGCGATAATTTTTCATAACACAACAATTTTCATCTGTAACTATTTCCCTTTGTAGCAATTGACCACATGTTCCCACCTGGAACCCAATATTTTAATCATTTTCGATTTAGTGGACAACAAAATATTACGTAGGCTATAATCATACGAAAAATGTATCCATCCGAAGTGTGAACTGTTATTAGAGACAGCAGTTTATTTTTTTTTTTTTCATTTAACAAACTACTTTGCACTTCCTAGGTGCTCGCATTGCTTTCTACAAACCTAACTAGGATCTTTCATTTTGGCGGGAAAAGCCAGTCGCAAATGACAATAACATGGTGAACATGGCTGCATTGCATAAGGGTAACGATGCTACACCAATGGAATTTTAAAGTAAGGAAGACAAACGATGTTTCGACATCACAAACTACCCTCATCACGTACATATTGTTTTCATGTTCTGTCTTATTATAAATGAAGACACGTACTTTTGGAGGAATTTTACTGGCATGAATTTGAAGCAGGTACGGGTCGGTACAGTTTCATTCTATTGTATACGAAAACACGTAATTTTGTAGGAATATAACTGACCTAAATTTGAATACCGTACGGGAATTAAATATGAAAAATAGTGAGGTGCATGTGTTTTTGTCGTATTCAGGACACGATGTGCTGTATAACATAAAAAGAAAAAGGGAATGGAAGTTTATTGATGCTATTTCCTGCAGCTGACAAACGACTTTTCAGGTCTTCACATGAATAAATTCCTGGAGAGTCAAAGAAAAAGGCTTTCCTGAAATTGCAAAAAGGGTAACTCCCTCTCCTGGAGATTCAGGAGAGTTTTTTGTGATAAGAACAGGGATTTTAATCCATTTTGATACCAACCGGCTAGAACTGGGTCAAATGAGGTTCCGGTGGGAAATAGGGTAATTAGAAGCTCCCGTTAACTTTAATATAACTTCAACAAAAATAACTTTTGGTAATTTGTTATGAAGAACGTCATATTCTGAATAGGCTAATATATGACTTGAAGTTCAAGTCAGTAATATTCCTAAATAAATTATTGTCTTCGTTTATTCGATGGATAAACGGATATCATCAGTCGATCAAAAATAGGATTTTTCTACTACACCCTGTATCAGAAAATGCAGTAACCAAAATAAGCTGATATGACACCATGGCATTTCTTCATATTTAAAACACAAATTATTGTTTTTGTCTATCACATAACTTGCAAAGTTTTTATTCATTCGTGGATGATAGACAAGCGGCACAATGATCATGTAACAACCATAATTGAAATTGCTTTATGTAAAATACAATTCTGTACGACTATGCCATGGCTTTAAATAATAAGGACAAAATTTTTAAAAATAAACTATAACTAAATCTAGAAATGCTGCAGGTTGCCTAATTCCAACCGATGCATGTCACATGTTATCGGGAATCGGAAAGCCTTGGAGATCCCAACGGAAAAATATATTATTAATGTCTGTTTCTCGGGATATCCGGTGTTTTATCGGGGATTACTCAATGACTATTTAAATTTAACTAACAACAGGTCAGTGAAACCATAAAATGTATTATCCAATTATCCCTAGATTCCTTTTACAAATGAAACATATTGGACCTGTTATGAATAGCCAGCAAGCTTGTTTTGCTTTCTTACCGAATTATCAAAATTACCGTTAAATGTGCTAATTACTCGGATTATGAACCAGATGACCACTTCTCACCAAGGTATGACTGTTATTGTAGCTGACAAGCAAATTGATTGTCAATATTGACAGTTTTCTTCGTAACCAGTAAATTTTTCCTGATTATTTTCTTTATGGGGAGTCAATTTTAACATTGAGGCGAGCGTTAAAAATTGCACCTTGACTGACATCCAGGCGCCTCCAGGAGAGCGAGAGCAATCGTGCTCCTTTTACATAAAGGCCTGACTTTTGGTGTCCTAAATCTGACGTCTATTAACCCCAACTAAGGATGTCTGACGAGCAAAATTTTGAAATAGCATCCCTGCTATTCAAAAGTGTAATCTTTTAAATTTAATTAATGGTCGAAATATCACCACCTATTCTGTATTATGCTCCAAAAATAGAAATACTGGTCATTTCACTACAGAACGACCAGGATAGAATCACAATACGTAGGTAAACACTTGCAAATTACTAAAAGGAACTCTACAAAAAGAAAAATACAGTAGAAGTTTACTTCCTTTAATATTGTACATCTCTATAAGTATGGTAAAACTCACTGTTTATGACCAGGAATGAAGAGTGAAGGGTGTATCCAGTGTAACCACTGTGTATTAGATCCACCATAAGCAACCGAACCAGGTATCTGTTCTGTATTACTGTCTCGTCTTTTACTATAACCTCGTTTAAATGTCCTACAAATTCATAAAAAAATAGAAGCCTAATTATAAATTACAAAAAACATTCTGAGAGTATTGCTGAAGCAAGATATGTCCTAATGAGCATCTACATCAATTACAAGCAGAGTGGTTATGTTCTTAAGTCTTGACCAATCAAACTGCTTATCACCACTTAGCCTAAGCAGAAAATTCTCATCATTGAACTTCGTTAAAGTATTGATATAATGAACATATACACAAAGTTTCACCACTAACACTTAATTAGAATCGACCTCCAAAGTCTTGATCAATCAATCTGCTTATAGCTCTGCTGTCCCTAGGCAGAAAATGGTCATTATCAATGTATTGATGTAATGAAACTATACACCAAGTTTCATCACTAACTTAATTAGAACCAAAGTTATCGTGTCCCTAATCATCAAGCAATCAAATTGCTTATCTCTGCTTAGCCTAAGCAGAAAATGTTCATCTTCAATCTCCATCAAAGCATTTACCTAAATAACACCTACACCAAGTTTGAACATTCAACCTCAATAAGAGAGAGAGAGAGAGAGAAATGGGGTTTAATGTTCGCTTGACAAAACTAGGTTCAATTTCATTTCAATAATTTGCTTGAGCAAAGGGATCTTTAGTAGTGTGAGGAAACCTGAGAACCCGGAGAAAACCCACAAGGTTGGACAACGACCCTACTAAATGCTCATCTGCAAACTCCATCATGGCATAGATGAACGGACAGACAGACAGACCCGTTTTAATAGTCCCCTGCTTTCTTCGAAAATGGGGACGAAAAACAAATTCCAGAAAACAAGTATGACTGAGGGACAGACAAAGTGAGAGAAAACCTAAATTCTGTACATATATGGCTTAGATTTGAAGTTTGTTTACAACATAGCATTAGTGTTCAGAAAAAAGCAAATGAAAATCAATTACTTTTTTCAAGACAAATGTCATATTTAAAACAAGGGCCATTTGAATGTCTCATTAGCCAGAGTTGGTCACAAATCCCATTTTTAAAGCAATGCCTCTCATTAGCCAGATGACAAATATGCATACCTGTAAAGTTGATCTATAGGTGAAGTAACAACAGCTAATGATGATATTAATGTCGAACATAGATTATGTATATTATACTGGGGTATATCACAATGACCAGGATCTAAATATTGGGACATAGACTGACAAACTTGAAACAAAAACTCGGATGAACAGAGAAGGATAGCTGTCAAATCATATCTGAAAAATGAAACCTAGAGTGAGAACAATTTAGCAAATATTTATGGACTTTTTAAATAAAATTTTGCAATTAGAATCTTCAATAATGTCGTAAAATATGAAACAAGAATCTCAATTCAATGACTAAAATCACCAGAATTGGAACAAAAATCCTCTATTCGTTATTTGTTATTCCAGGCTTAGCCTTGATAGCCATTAAATGGCAACCTTGTTTCATTTCCGTTTAAACCACTGCCATCCGATAGTCTAGAGAGATGATTATAGGTTTGTCATGTGAATAAAGTGGTAGTGTAACACCACCAGGCATATGTCATTCCCCTGCTCAACCTGCACTTATACGCCAAATTTTAATCCTAGTGTAGCAACCTGCTCCAAACAAAGAAATAGAAAAACGATGGTCACAAATATATAGAAGCATTTAAGAAAATATTTGTTAAATTAAATTGAAAGTGTAGATTGACACGAACATTTTAACTATTCCCATTGTAGATAATTATATATTCTAATATTCTATCATTGCATGCACTGTGTATCTTCAAATGTTGATATTTGATACAGATATGCTAAAACTATGACAATACAAATGTAAATAAATAATACCAATGATTAAATTACCTATACTGCTTGAATCTTTTAAAACTTGGTTTAACTCTAACATAACGTAACGTCAACATTTGAAGTGATTCATGTAGTACAGAACCAAATATATTTTGAGCTAATCGGGGAGGACAAACAGTCCATAAGTCATACTGTAAACCACGCATGTAAAAATTCCACATTTGTACAGTATAAGAACATCTTTCATCCTGCAATAAGAAATACGAAAGACAAGGGATTATAGTAATTTATAATATGGTTCAAATTTCATTATCTGAGCCATAAGCTTTGAAAATTGGAATATAATAAATGATCTTCCACTATATAGATCTTAATGTCTTTTAAGAAAAGTATTAATACTAACTTCTAATTGATACTCTAAAGATAAACACTACATAAAATAAGAGCGGGCATTTAGATATTTACTTCATAAAAATCTTTGGAATCATTCCAGTGATGACATTCAGCATCATGCAGGACTGTAGTGGCTAGAAGTTGATTGTGGATATCTAGAATTTGTTTAGACAAACTTTCTACGAGGTCACTCAGTTGTTTTAACAGACCTAAAAATACCTTTTTTCTGAAAAAAAATCAAAAAAAAAATCACAAATTAATTATCAAACGCTAACAGAACTTTTTTTTAGAATTTCATTTATAAAACAAACAAATATCCTTGTACAATACCGAAATGAAATGTGATTTAACATACGGGTATACACCATACAGGGTGTTATGGGAGTCTTGTCAACACTGTACAATATTTATGCAGTAAATAATTAACCAGTCAGTAACGGAGCACTTACATGTATTGTACATCACGGTTGCAGTGTAACCCAAGTATCATTTAATCCTGCGTATTTACCACTAATTTCTTTCACATTCATTCAATATCAAATCTTTGTTTAAAAACTCGAAAAAATCTTTTAAAATAACCAAAAAATATCTAATTTGTACTTGTGTCCAGTTTAAAGCCGACCATTCAATTTTGATAATGAGTGTCCAATTTACAAGTGTTTAATTTCTCGATCACTGTTAAATAAACAACCCAATTGATAATTGATGTATATTTATTAATCTTTAAACAGGTCATACAGGAAATTAAACACTTGTAAATTGGACAGTCATTATCAAAATTAATCAGTCATCTTTAAACTGGACACAAGAACAAATTAGATAACTTTTGGTGTTTTTAAATGATTTTTATGAGTTTTTAAACAAAGATTTTATATTGAATGAATGTGAAAGAAATTAGTGCTAAATTGACAAGATTAAATGATATCCAGGTTACAGTGTTGGTCAGTCAGTAAAGATTCTGGCTCGCTAGCTAACCGGGATATCTCGAGTTTGATCCCATTGTTAGCTGAGTAAGTTGCTCAGGATTCTCCAGCTTTCCAACTACTCGTTCGGATGGGACAAATAGCTGAAGTCGCGTGCACATAAAAGAATTGAAGTTCAACAAAGAGCAGGCGCGAAATCTCTGCTGTCCGAGTAAATTATCTCTTACCGTATTTTTCGGTGTATTAGGCGCACTTTTTTTACCAAATATTAGGGGTGCGCCTAATACATAACGTTAAGCGAATCCAGGCTTTTCCCGTGTAGACACCGAAGTCGGGAGTTCAAGAAATAACTGCCCTAGAATCAACACATGTCGACCGGGTGACGCTACCTCAAAAGTTTATGATAAATTACCACACAAATTAAACACAATACTGTTTCCTTTCGTGTCCATTTATATTTGTCAGTAATATTTTAGATAGTTTAAAATTCGTCCATATTTGTCAATAACCTTTAGATACGGTTAAAATATGTCAATAATTATCGCCCGTATTTCTGTTATTTCGTGCATAAAAATTAAAAAAGATGTAGACATTTTAGGCTATCCCGTGTACAGTATAGTGTTTGTCATAACCGGCAATGCAAACACCATCGGCTGATAGCCGTTCAACGTTAACGATGTTTTAAAAAATAGCATACGTATCGTTAATATTTTTTGCTAATTCTACATCATATATTTCTGCTATTCCGTATACTATTGACCATTATCGGCAGTCCTCGCACGTCCCCGTTCAAGGTCAGTGGTGCTGTCAGTCAAGTTGACGAATAGGGCGGGATATGCATTCATACAAGCATTTTCATTGGCTCAATATACGTCATTGGTAGTAAGGGTGGGATTAGAGTTAAACTGACATATATTGAAGTTGTTCTCTTATCGCCCGTATTTCTGTTATTTCGTGCATAAAAATTAAAAAAGAAGTCAACATTTTAGGCTATCCCGTGTACAGTATAGTGTTTGTCATAACCGGCAATGCAAACACCATCGGCTGATAGCCGTTCAACGTTAACGATGTTTTAGAAAATAGCATACGTATCGTTAATATTTCTTGCTAATTCTACATCATATATTTCTGCTATTCCGTATACTCTTGGCCATATTCGGCAGTCCTCGCACGTCCCCGTTCAAGGTCAGTGGTGCTGTCAGTCAAGTTGACGAATAGGGCAGGGTATGCATTCATACAAGCATTTTCATTGGCTCAATATAAGTCATTGGTAGTAAGGGTGGGATTAGAGTTAAACTGACATATTATATTGAAGTTGTTCTCTTATCTACGATATCACCCCTGGTGGAAGTGGGCGGTAAACTCCAGAAACGACGACAACGAAGTTGTTCTGTCTAACCTGTTCTCGAAACGGCAAATTTTCAAGGCTTCTATGATTGACAGTCAACCCATTCTTTCACAATTTGTGGATAACATGCAACGTTCTATCTATTTGCTTTATCTATTACCGCACTCTTTAGCGGTTCGTCTCGTAGTCATTCTGAATAAATAATTGTTCAAAAGTTTGATGGAAGGTTCGTTGGTATTTTCTATACATTGCTGTAACTTATATATCTAGCCGTTTCAAGTTACCGATAGTTTTCATGCAACGAAGATTCACTGATTAACCCATTGTTATAATTTACCGGTATCGTTAATTATCTACTGGTGAGTTGTCATCGTATGCTTTATGAAGTTGTTTGTTGTTCACAAAATCATTGTTTCTTTGATTGGTATTAAAAATGCTATTGTCTTAGGATACTGATAGATATAAATGGCCTCAATCTAGGTAATGTCATGCTGCGTGTAGTGGGCGGGGCAATTGACAGAATCGTTTGATTGTCAGTTGTTTGGATAGTATAAAATAAACTAGAATTATTGTTTCTCTTTTTACCGGTATTCAGGATTTAAGCCGTGAGTAACTGATCATGATAAATTATTTCTACAGTTATTATTTCATTTGTTTATCATCAATACCTATTCATTTATCACAGCCAATTGCTCGTGAATTTAACAGGACAGCCATTTGTGTTGTGGGCGGGACTCTAACGACAATTTGACTACCGTACAAGCGCCAGAATTACCACTTAAGTTATGAAACTGTTCAATTTAAAGTTGTAATTAATATAATTATTATAACTGTAAACAGTAGAGTTTGGCCCAGTTGTTGGAGATCGCAGGTGTATTTGAATCACGTATGGTAACTATGGTATGGCACGTGTTTCACAAGGTGCCGGAGAAGGATGTGCCTAAACCATGCATTTTTATTTTTTCCTGAAACACCTCTGCCAAACTCGCCCTGCGCCTTATCTACGCATGTGCCTAATACACCAAAAAATACAGTATTATGCCCGTTATCATTAGTAAGTTGTTTTAACAACTTTTTTTAATGATTAATATTAAAATATTAATCATTAAAAAAAGTCCCAATACTTACCCAGCATCATCTGTACATAGAACTGTTTCACAATGTGTAAGTTGATTACGACAGTAAACAGCATTAGATAATAGTAGATATAATTGTTTTATATTAGCCTTTATAGGTACATCCACACAAAGCTACAAAATATAAAACAAAAACAAAATACAATTTATTTTCTGAGCTTTAAGCTATACAAAAAATCAAAAAAAAAATTTGGTTCTCAGACAATCCATCACAAAACATCTGATGTGGGATGCTGGTTTTTATTTTGGCAAAAAGGATTATGTGGCTAATTGACTTACTCACAAACATCACATTTCAAGGCACTACATTCGTCTTATTTATGAGTAGGTCATTACAACCTACAAATTTAAAACGCTTTAGTCTCGAGTTGCTGGTAAATGAATTATGAAAGTAAATATTATTCGGATATCAACAAAATTTTTTTAACATTTGAAGACTTTTAAAAGAACAGGAAATTAGTCTTATTGCCGTATTTAGAGATGAGTGTCAGCTGTGATAGAAATAATTCCAGCCTGCTATCAGAGACTAAAATAGGAGAAACTTTTGGTAACAAAGATGACTTCGCTTCGAGAGTTATATGTAAGTTTTAAGCCTTTATTATTTTATTTACAGACTGTTATCCCAATGTTGTAGCTAGTTTTTCTTCACACAATTGCAGTTCATACCTACATCCTCAAAAATACCCTATAAAACTATGACAGTAATGTCTAGCTTAAGATTCTAGTGGTTGCTATGTATACTGACTGTTCTGACGTGTTGTCATTGTCAATTTTGGCATAATGTCGATTTAGGCCTATATTTCAGCTGCTATTTTCGACTCCCTCATTGTATTTTCAGGTGATTTCTTGTGACTAATGACTTCTAATTAGGTAGATCATGTTAGTCAGCCTTTAATCAAAGCTTGATTTAAAAGGAAATTCCACCTGATTAAGGCCTGGAAACGGTTTTGATTAATTTATGACTGATTTTCTACTGTTTTATATATTTCAGAAATGTGTTTTCATAAAAGATGTTTGAAAAAAATCGTGTGACAGTCATGTGTGCAGAATTTCATGAAGATATTTGCCAATAAAGATTTGAGCTGAGGAAGATCATTGAGCACAAAAATGTAAAAAAGTACAAGTCTGTAATATTTATACGCAAAAATTTGCCTTGATAATTTAGAGGGGGTTTATTGTCCATTCGACCACGCTTTTCAACCAATCAGAATCGAGGAAATTTCTAATTTGTGCTACAATATTTATTATCCATAACAGAACATAATATACAAGCAACTAATTAAGTTGTCTGAGTAGTCATGAGCTAAACAACTTTAAAAACTTCAAAAAGATCAGCTCATACAGTATATTTAAAGCCTTTATGATTTTTTTTTTAAAACAATATTATTATGCAAAATATCTGAATGGGATCGGGGAACAGGCTTAGCCTATGTAAAACGGACCCCTGTCCCTTTCTATGCAGTGATGACAAGATTTTGTTAGTTATTACTGAAAGTCAATACAGTTCTTCAATTCAATAGAATCCGCAACCAATAAATATTTCAGAAAGATATAATCCATATAAATGTTATTTGTGTTTTCAAAAATAATTGTAACATATAAAATTCTAACAAGATTTTGTAATAAAGGGGTGATTATTGAAAAAGTCTGGAAATGAATAGGATTCTTCATTTCAATGAGAAAGATAAAGCATATCAAATTCCATTGGATATATAGATTATTGTAGCCTCTAGTGGACTAGCAAGAAATGTGAAGAAAAGATTGAGAGATGTGACAACAATCTCTGAACTGGGGGTGTATGATTAAAATAAACTATTTAAAGGAGGAATCTGAACAAATCTTACCTTTACAATATGTTCATGTACTAGTTTAAGACTAGTACTGATATTATCTATATAAGCTGCTCTAACAGCAGACAAACTACCATCACAACCAGCTCGAGCAAATACTAATAGACTGTCACATGTAGCCATAAACTCATGCACTGACTGAAATTCACAAATATATATCAGTTTTAACATCACAGATTTGATTAATAATATTAATTCAAGTTTAAGAGCTATCTGAACTTTTAAAATCAAATCAAACCATATCACATAGAAAATATATAATTACTGGTCCCCCATTATATATGCTGCTAATGATTACGATAATAGAGGCTACCATAACCTGCCAGCCAGGAAGCAAGACCAATTCCAATGTCTTAAAGGTGCTAAATCGCTATTTTTTGGCACCTATAAATGGACACAAATGGGTCACAACGCATATAATAATGTAATATGAATGTATATAAACTGATTTACATTTCAATCATTTCTGTTTTTACTATAATTTCTAATAATGTAATAATGTAATATGAATGTATATAAACTGATTTCAATCATTTGTTTTTACTGTAATTTCTAATCAGTTATGTTTGGCGAAATACGCAAAGATCCTGAATTACTTGGCAGTCTTTGGCATCTGGTTATTCCAGTCTACACCGGTAGTATGGGCCATGTTTAGCCTTGTTCACGTTGCTTCATACAAGTGGCGCACGAAAGCCTTCTGGCACACGATTCATGTGTCAGTTTTAAAATTTTCATTTTGTTTTAAATATTTGGTATCAGAAGCCCAACTTTTCACGGTAAGATAACAACATCAAAGTCGTGTTTGCAATGTCGATGACTGTGGATGATATTGAGTTAAAGACTTGGCTCCTTTAATATCATTTAATTATGAAACATATTCATGGTACCGGTATGAATAAAACAACTCTATCACAATTAAAACCCCAAAATGTAGGTTAGATACAATCTTGATTTCAATGTTCGAGGATAAAAATGAGATATCCTACATGCATCGGCTAATGTTCTTAAGGAAAAACAAGATGCCGTCATGAAATCAAAGCAAAGTTATGTGAATTTAGACGGCCAAAACTTCTTTCATTATGGTTTTTAATCTTTATTTTTTCTTTCTGCCTGAAATACTGTGCCTTTAAAACATACCTTGGTTATAACTTTTGGATAATCTTGTTTTCCTCCCTGTAGAGTTAACTTAACATTAACGGGAGTCAAAGTATGCGTATTCTGCCATTGTGTTAGTTCTTCTTGTAAGGAAATTTTCACACTGTTATTAATACTAGCTTCAACAGCTTGAGTAATATCCCCCGAAATCTTCTTAAACATCAGTTTCCAATCCCAATGGAGCCGTTCCTCTGTTTTCGTTCTTTCAATAACTTTTTAAAAAAAATTGAAAATGTATTTAACCAAATCCAATACAAAATGTTATTTTTCAAGAAATCTGAATACTTTAAATGAATGAATTGGGGTTTAATGTCCTGCACCACTGACATGGGAGAACAACTCTGAAATATCCTGAGGAACTTTCTCGGCCGACACCAGGGTCGAATTCCAGACTTCCTGTTTAATGAGCCTTACAAAGAATTTTTTTTTTATTTGGTGCAGTATTTAATGATGAAAATGACAATTAATGATTAATGACAATTTTGTCTGGCATCACACAGCACGGTTTTTCCACCTTGCACAAGATTACCATGCTAGTTTATACATGTACAAATACCTTTAGGCGTTGCTATTGTACTTGTAGTTGATGAAATACTGGAATCTATCTGGGTGTCACTATTATTTAGTTCTGTCACTCTTAATGAATGACGCCTTTGCTCTGGACTTGAAGTTGTTTTTAGAACTCCTATAAGATAACAAAAGATAATATATTATACAATAATTATACATGTACATTTCTCAAGTTCATTCATGGGAAATAAAAAGTTATACAAGTTAATTAGCCAGTTAATAAGATCAAATAGTATTGGTTATCATCCATTATCTAAATGATCAAAACACAACCATCTTCATCAACCAGACTTTAATTTGAATTTAAGTTTCACGCCATTAAAATTGGACCTGTATTATGTTTTGTTATTTTCTTAAAAGGTGGATTAAAATAATCGGTTACCAATTTTAATGTTAATCAGTTGAAGTACTGGTAGAATTTGTTGTCTGAATTTTTGACAATTGTACATATACATTGAACAATCTTGGTGATGTTCAATACCATAATTTTCTTCTCGCTTTACCTCTTTCTTCTGCATGCATGCATGGTTGTTTCTATCCAATATTTCCTGGTGTAATGTTTATAAATATGCTGTTTTACTATGCAGTTTGCTAACAGAATATACCAAATGCACAAGGAAATATTCAATTATGGAAACCATTGGCTTTAATATCACAACAAGATGCTTTAAGCTTAAGAGGGATGATATTGGGGTTGGCAGACATTCAATGGTCATTCTTAAATTGAAGACATTTACTTATATTCCTGAAATTTGTAATTCAAACTTATCTAACTAATTAATGCAACAGAATAGGAGATCCAGACGTCAATATTGACAGAATCTTAAAAGTAGTATATAATGAATGAAGACTGTGAGTTGACTACTTCATCTTTAGAAGTACATGTATCTTATAACAATGGATATTAAAGATAGGGTGCCCCAGGCAGCGAAAATTTTCCCTACAGAAAGTTGAACTCGACACGGCGAATGTGCAAGCTTCAGTGGCTTATCTCGAAGTGATTTCTGGCTAATCATGCAATGCGATAACACCCAGCACGAGAGACTATGAGTCTATAAATAGCCATTGCACGTGAAATTCTCTACACATTTATCAACTATTACAGCCGTAAAAAATCTATTATTGACGATTCTGAATAGCAGTAATATTTAGCTTTTTGGTTATTACAGCAGCTTTAGAAATTACGTTTGTTTTATTTTTTAAATTGCTTTATCATTAACTATACCGTTAGGAGCGGCATCTTTTGGTTTAGTACAAATAACATCTCCGAAACACTCGGGTTAGGCAAGAACATGATACTAGCAGTAGTTTCATTCTACTTTTACAAGGTTTTTAAGATAATTGTTGAGTTGCCTAACGTGCGTGTTTCTAAATTCAATTTCTTGTTCTAGCTTTCTGTTATGTTTCGTAAAAAAGTAGTCTGGATTATAACGGCCTGTCGATCAGGGCTGTCGGTAATTTTTCATAGATGATTAGAGCAGCACTGCTAATCAAAAAGTCCAATTGTGCCAAATTTGATTAGCAAATTTAAAAATTGATTCGCAGTTTTTCAGTTTCAACATGAAACACCTAAATAAAGATTACTTTAATTTTAATTTATAACAATTGATTAGTTTTCATTCTTAAGATTTTTTTTAGAATTTTAGCACTGCAACAGGTAGCTGTGACCATTTCTGAATGTAGTCTTTTGGTTAGGTCTTATGTCTGAAGCCAATTCTTGGCAGTGGCTTCCGAAGTCACACTCATTTTAATTCTTATTTCTTCGTTAGAAAACAATTTTGTCTGATTTTTATCGTGTTTTACTATTTTTGTTCAATCGGACGCACACAGTATTTTTCATATAATCTATATTAACTAGACGCACGCGATATAAACAATTATATTTTACGGGAATTATTACGTTGATTTCTCATGTTACAATGCGTTTTAAGTCGTTTACACGTATTTATTTTGTATAGTTTATTTATAATACATGGGGGATAGACCGAATTTTTTTTTTTTTTTAAAATTGAATACTGACATAATTACTCGAAACTGACATGTCTCACAACCTGAGTGGTACTACTTGATTCCCTATTTCCGGTTTAATAGTCCCAATTCATAGAGTTATGTCCCTGTATAGTATAATGAATTCAGTCTGGGAGTTCTAGAAGAAAATGCCACACAGAGAATTCAGTTTTGTTTATAAAATTTATTTGACATTTTATACTCCTTGAAAGTGTTGAGAAATGTGAATAAATCTTCGTGTCAATATCCAAAATGACAGGCATATTAATTGATTCGCAGTTACTGCGAATCAAAAACGTTAGATTTTAATTTTTGATTAGCAACGGACAAAATATGTATCGCAAATTGTGCTGCGATACTGGTTGTCGGCAGCCCTGCTGCCAATCAGTAGTAGAATGGTCGGTAGACTGGTTAAGCGAGACTAATTTCAAAACAAGGGCATGTAACCTATTTTTTACTCAAAAGTGCCCGGATATTATGGCTGACACTCGTAACCATTTTTCAGTCTATCATTTATGGACGATTAAATGGTCATAGCTTATTAAGTACAACATGACCGTTTTTATTATTGACTATAAATGTGTGAAACTGATTTAAGGCTTGGTACATGTATATACATGTATATAAATATTGTGGTGTGATTGTCAAGATATTTGGAGATATTTATTTATGGCGGGGCACCCTATCAATGTTAATAAAAGCAGTGCAGATCTATTTCATATTGATTATAGGACAAATACAAAGATTTGAAATTTTAATTAAAATGACTATCACCATACCTCTAAGACTGCCTCTCCTTTTTGCCTTTTTAGTTGACACACCCACAACATCCCATGCAGTGTTTCTCAACAAGGTGTTTATATGTTCTTCTATAGCTAGTAGAGATTTGATGATATGCAGCAAAGACTGAATACATCCAGCATTAACAATGGCTTCTCCCTGGGGTTGAGCAATCATACGACTAGGCAATATACTGTCTAAACTTTGACCTTTCTGCAGCTTGTCGCGCTTGTTTTGAGAAATATTTCCATGTGCAAAGGTGTTGTGTCGTATTTTGAAGATATCATCGCTGACTTCCTCCACAAGGAGTGACATCTCGTCCGAATATTTTTCTAAATATAGATCGTGGATGGCTTTAAATACTCCAATAACTTTACGAAGCATCCCTGTATTTAAAACAACAAAATCTTCATCAATCATGTTAATAATGGTAGAAGCTATTAGATCACAATGGCTCGAAAATGACTGATAGTCAAATGTGTCGGATTCAGGAAATAAATCACGAAAACTCTTCTCCAGTTGCTGCGTTCGTAGACTTTGATAGCATTGCCAAACTTCTTCATCAGGCGCAATAGCGAGAAGACACTGAACCAGACGCAACCTCTGATTAACAGGAATTCCAGGAAGGTTATTTTTCTGAACAGGCAAACGCAGCAATTTTTCTACAAAGTGCTTTTTTAACCTCTGTGTTATTTTACTCCATTTTGCTTCGATTTGTTTATCAGTAGTGTCTTCAATGGTGTGTAGGGAGGACATGGAAATTGGAACTGTGTTGACGGTTGATGTTTGTAAAGGGAAAATGAGGCCTTCTGCAGCACTCAGAGAAAGAATCTCTTGTAATACTCTTTCTTCACTACCAGGATTTTCTTCTATCATACTTAGCTGAAAATTTAACAGAAATTAACGCTACATAATGAAATGGTAACTTGAAATAGTTTATAATTTATTTTGGGTTTCAACTAGTCTCAACACATGAAATTGTGTTTAACTTTCTACTGAAAATAAACACACTTATATGGATATACTACTTCTGAATTTTATTGACATGCTACGTTTCAATACACATATAGGTATCGTTATCAAGCAAATAATTTGCTTGATCGTTTGCTTGATAACGATACCTATATATGTAATAAAATTCAGAAGTAGTATATCCATATAAGTGTGTTTATTTTTAGTGAAATTTATTTCTATATGTCTTATAAGGATTAACTTTCTACTGTTCTGCTCTAACTGGGCTAATGAAGATGGATCTCAACCCATTGTTTGCAGTGTTCATGTTTAAGATATCAAAAGCTAAATATGCAGCACTGCTTTAAGAATATAATTTCTACAGAAAACTAATTTCTTACCAAACCATTTAATATGGCTACTGAATCATCTACTTCAGGGTCATAACATGAATCTTTTTCCAGAACATGATTACTAATCATATGAATTAAACCTTCTTTAGGATCAGAAACATTGTTGGCACCAGGTAAATCTTTAGTAAATTGAAGAATTGACTGCATACAAGTATCAATTCTGAAAAACATATATAAAAGTAATCAAAATTCATATCTTTAGTGGCACTATGAGATAAAACTTAAACATTGGTGTTTATGTGTAAAAAAGCTACTGTATACAAATACTACATGCATTATTGAAATTCCTTATTTTTCTAATATTTTATCCAGTAAACACAGCCATTAAAATCTTATTGCCTTGTTTTAGACCAATAGGAATCCCTTGCAAATTACAATATTTTGAAAGATGAATAACCAATGAATACTGGTCAAAAAAAAATTTTGATTCTGTTTAGTACCGGCATTTACAAAGATTTGTTGAATTTAAATTTCATCATTCTATGCTGCTTGCTATGTAATAAGCCTGCCACCATTTGTTGTGGGCGAACACAACTGATGGGCTTATTTAAATCAGAATGAATCCAAGCCAGGAGGTTATCCAGCATTGGTACATGTACTTTGATTTTGTTTTCTTAATTAAATGTTAAATAAAAAAAATGAGTACATATTAGCGGGGATAAAGCGTGATATATGTTAGCAAAAAATGCAAACGATACATCATTACTTAAAATTAAAGATTAGACTGATAAAAATTAGTTTCTTGCTAAATGGTGAAAATATGTCTTTCTGATTCAAGAAACATGAAATATAGGGCTGCATATATATATATGTAGTCCTTACTCTTTGTTATTTTCTTCAAGTTGTGCATCTAATTCTGCCAAGTAGAGATCAAGGTTTGCGGATGATGGCACACTAGTTGACTGAAACATGATACGAAAGGGGGGCATGATACTATCCTTCATGATGCCTTGATTGCTAGAACCTGCCATAAAACTATGAAAGGTTCCCGTTATCTATCCCTGTGTTACATCTGAAAAATACATAAAAAGTTAATAAAAACAAGTTGTTTATGTAAGTTTATGGTATTCAACAATAATCACTTTCTCAATGGGAAAATTATTGTCACTTCCCATCCACTATGCATAGTTCACTCAAATACAACACAAAATGTTAACTATTAGAAAATGTTAAAAAAAATTAACATTTTATTTTCTAATATCAAATTCAATATCACTATAGTACGCACAAGTTTATTTGAGAACATATGATTTGAAAGCACTTTTTTTATTTATATCAAGGGAAGCAATTAATCTAATTTAATTGCTAACACTGGCTGATGCAAATCTGGTGCTATTTCACTTTGTTTTAGCACCTTTTATTTACCAGTTCACTGAGTTCAGCTGTTTCGATCAATAGCTGTTTTACTTTACAGACCTTTTAGTAGGCCCTGTGCCCCCGGAAAATTTTGAAAATTGACCACCGCAAACCCATTTTCCAATCATTTCAGACCAAAGCAGAAGAAGGCAATTTTTTTTTCTCTTGTCATGTGTCCTGTCCTCTCCTTCCTGAGTAGGCCTACTATACTGGATTACATATTTTCGTGACTTTATACAGATTGTTAGCATGAGATTTTCATCAGATAAAAATTCGGAAGATTTGTGAACCTTGGGTGTCTTCGTTTGCTTCCATTTTGCTTATTTATAAAGTCACATGACACATGTTATTTTTCAAGGAAATGAGTTAACGCCAGTTGAAGGAACACTCATGTCGATAGTAACTAGTTGCCTCTAGTTGAAGCAAGTTGCAGAAAGTTAAACATGGGACACACTGGTTTCAACGACTTACTGGAACTAGTTGAAGTCAGTTGAAGTCAGTTGCATTCAGATGCATTCAGTTGAAGCCCGCTGCAAAAGTGGCAGTTGCTCTCAGTTGTAGCCTATTAAGTATTGATCATGTCAACATATAAGCCCCGCCCCCCTTAAAAAGAGATGATTTGTACCCATGTCAGGATCATATGCTTAATTGTTGTTGGGATGTGGAAGAAATGTAATAAATATTATTTATAATAGAATAATAGTAATAATACAAAGTTTATTTTTCTGCAAAACTAATAATAATAATATTTAGGCATTCGTAATATTTATGTAAATTATATCTTGTAAAGAGAATGATTCCTAGGCCCCAACATTGGAACTCTGATCTCTAATAGATATATTTTTGTTGGGGGAAAAAATCAATCAATTCAATGGGTATTATAGTACCATCTCTTATCTTGAGACACGCACTTCAGGACAAAGAGAGAGATGCGGCTTTGAACTATGATTACTACGAAGATCTATCATCTGTCACTTCATTCAAATGATAATTAATTGAAATTGGGGTTCAAAACTCCATAAACACTTACGTCTTGATGACGTCTATGGTCTATAATGGTAATTTTAACAAGTTATCAACACAAACATAATAATTAATCGATTTGTTGCATCTTTCCACTTTACTCAGGAAAATTCCTTACTTGGTAATGCTGCCAGAGTTACCCTTTCGGTCAAAGGTAGATAACTCCAATTGAATTCAAAAAGGTTTATTTTTATCCAGACCTTATCTACACACGTAAATTGATGCCAAGTTTTAGATAATGAACTAATCTGGGTCGACTCTAGTGGCATGATTTTTAACCTAAAATTAAAATGACCGAAGATCGCTAAAGACATCTTAACTTCCACCGAACAATCATTAAAAAATAAAGACAGTGTAAAGATAAAGATAAATTTTATTCATATTGCATAAAAACGCACATGCGAAGCAGCATATGTTACAATTACCTTATAATATATAAATTGCATTGGTAACAAACAAACGAATGTATCCTTAAACTAGTTTAAAGTGAAAGGCGATTTATACATGTAGCTATAAAATAGAAAATTTAAAAAAAAAAAACAATTCCTGCCAAAGTATCCTACATTCCGAATATTTTTTAAATGTAGGCATGTAGCCTAGGTGTTAAAAGTGGTTTCGAAACAGTTTTAGATATTAATATACCGATACGCTGCGAAATGTCTTAACCATGTAATAGGCCACGTGCACTAAGTTAGAAGTAGTATCAGATGTTAGATTATAATATTAGTTTCACACAAACAAAAAATATTCAGCAACAAAAACTGATCTTTTAAATCCATATATTGATACCAAGTTGAGTGAATATTAAATTTACGGGAGCCCCGGTGGCTTGGTGAGTAAGACGTTGACTCGCTAATCTGAAGGTTAGGCCTACGTGTTAGGTCCCATTGATGGCCGAGAAAGTTCCGTGTATGGTTCGCCCTTACCAGTGGTGCAGGACGGAGGGACTGGCAAGGGACAACGAATAAGTCATTCGGATGGTAGGCTACGAAAGCCCGAGGTCTCGTGTACATATTGGCGTGTACGTAAACGAGAGAGAGAGAGAGAGAGAGAAATGGTTTAATTTTATTGCAATAATTCGCTTGCGCGTAGGGGTCTTTGGCAGTGGGAGAACCGGAGGACCCGGAGAAAACCCACGAGGTTGGACAGGCGACCCTACTCCTTGTCACGTACAACTGGGGGTTCGAAACCACGTCAGTTGACTCAATGACAGGCTTTGTGATACAGCGCGCACGTGCTAACCATTCGGCACCCCCCCCCCCCCCTACGTAAACGAACCCAGAACCCTTGACATTTGGAATTTGAAACAAGAGTAGACCGTATTTACTGTTTTAATAACATATATACTCTTCCAAAAAATGAGGGGATATTCAGAAACAATACAAAAATGGGGAAATGCACTGCTGTTTTTATTAGAGATAACCAGTGCATGTTAATAACAGGCCAATTGCCTACACATGGACATAAACAGTTCATATGGGCGGCTTATCTGACGGCCCCATTTCACTCGCAAAGAGATACACTGTCAAAAGTGAAAATGGACGTTTTTGATTTTTGTCTTAATAATGAGTAATTGCTCAGCAATTCGTCGTGGCATGCTCCTAATCAACCGTCCAATCACGATTTGGGGCAATCTGAACCACTCCTCTTGCAGTGCCACGGCCAATTCTTGCAGTTTTGTCGGTTGACGTTGACGTCGACGAACGCGTCTCCCGATCATGCCCCAGACATGCTCTATAGGGGAAAGGTCGGGACTCATGACTGGCCAAGGCATATGGACAATATGGTGACGCTGGGGGTAGTCATTCACGACACGAGCGCGGTGTGCACGGGCATTGTCATCTTGAAAGATGAAACGTCGACCCGGACGTTGAGCAAAGGGCAGAACTTTCGGTGCCAGGATGTGGTCACGGTAGTACACACCAGTGACCCTTCCTTCAACAATATGCAAGTCCGTTCTGCCAGTCATGGTGATTCCTCCCCACACCATAACAGACCCACGCCCGAATCTGTCATGCTGTCTGACGTTAACGTTAGCATGACGCTCATTTACACGCCTCCAAACGCGAGCACGGCTATCGATGAAATACAGAGTAATTCTGGACTCATCTGAGAACATTACACGCGCCCATCGGCGATTACCCAAATTTCTACGCTGCCTACACCATTGACGCCTGTTTTCCATGTGCTGGCGAGTTAATGGAGGCACAACACGCGGTCGTCGCGCATAAAAATGGGCTGCATGTAGCTGATTTCTAATCGTTTGGGGTTTAACTCGAATTCCTGTAACTTGATACAAGTTTACAGAAAGCTGATTGGCCGCTTGTCCTCGATTTCGCAGGACCTGTGTGCGAATGTATCGATCCTAGGCTTGTGTAGTGGCTCTAGGACGACCTGAACGAGGTCTATCATCAGCATTGTGTGTTTGTTGGTACCGGTTCCACAGTCTGCTTATCACAGACTGTGACACATTAAGCACGTTGGCTACTGCTCGCCGTGTAGAACCCATTTGAAGCATGCCAACAACATGAACCCATTTGAAGCATGCCAATAGCACGTAGACGTTCATCATGTTGAAGACGTCTCATTGCAAATTAAACGTAACACACTAAAGCAAAGATACGCTAAACAGTAAATCTTATGCAAGAACCGATAGGAAAGCAAACATGGATGGGATAAACCAGAACGCGTCTGCGTGTCGCAGGTGCAGCTCAGTGGTTCTGTTTGGACGATAAGTTCTTCATCTGTGAACATACTCTCAAAGCATGTCAAGTGTACATGACTATTTATCATATCACAACCTGCATAGGTATTTGCATTTCAATATCCCCTACATTTTTTGAAGAGTATATGTTAGCGCTGTATGTGCTAGAATTACTGATAGAAAGGGGTGTGGTACGGGTGGTGGAATGGGGCTAGCTTAATTGACATTATTGGGAAGGAGCTCAGGAGGTACTGCGCTACTGGCAATTGTGTTATTTCTGTCCATAATTCAGAGCTGAAATGGCACTATCCCCAGTTAGTGCCGGTATCCCGAATCTGAATCCCGGTTGGGTCGACAGAGAGAATGTTGGCGTTCGAGAGAGACAAAAGACTTGGGTCCAGTCGTTGGCATATTGACGTGATGGTAAAGTATTTTTTTAAGACCAGTGGACAGCAAGGCCGGTTTAGTTCCTAAGCACTTAAAATATTTTGATGCCCCATTTATATTCAAAATAAACAATAATAAACCACAAACAACCGCCAAGCACGTGATTAGAGTTTTTCTGGGATTTTATACACGTCATTATTAATTGCGACAAAACAGGTAACAATATGAAAGGGCAAAAACAATGAAAAACTGATTGAAAGTTCTTCATTAATTTCTAAATTAAATATTTTAAATTTGGCTTCTAACAAAGCATACATTCTGTGTTGCTCCCATAACCATGATGCCCTAAGCACGTACTTAATTTTCTTAATGGTTAATCCAGCACTGATGGGCAGTAACAACAACGTCCGTAAAGGTAAAAATCAAAATAACTTAATGTTATACCATAGACCTTATAATACATTATAAGGTCCATGGTTATACTCAAAGTGACATATACTCTTCAAAAAAAGTAGGGGATATTCAGAAACAATACAAAACTGCGGAAATGCATTAATGCACTGCTGTTTTTTATTAGAGGTGACCAGTGTATGTTGATAACAGGCCAATTGCCTACATATGAACATAAACAGTTCATATGGGCGGCTTATATGACGGCCTCATTTCACTCGCAAAGAGATACACTGTCAAAAGTGAACATGGACGTTTTTGATTTTTGTCTTAATAATGAGTAATTGCTCCACCAATCCTCAAACATTCAGCAATTCGTTGTGGCATGCTCCTAATCAACCGTCCGATCATGATTTTGGGCAATCTGACCCACTACTCTAGCAGTGCCACGGCCAATTCTTGTAGTATTGTCGGTTGACGTTGACGTCGATGAACACGTCTCCCGATCAAATTAAACGTAATACACTAAAGCAAAGATATGCTAAACAGTAAATCTTATGCAAGAACCGACAGGAAAGCAAACATGGATAGGATAAATGAGCACGCGACAGTTTTCATTAACCCTTCCTTGAAGTGTCAAATTTGACAATGAACCCCTCCCAGTCCCACGTGTATGGCGCTATTGCGTGTCGCATGTGCAGCTCAGTGGTTCTGTTGGGGCGATAAGTTCTTCATCTGTGAACATACTCTCAAAGCATGTCAAGTGTCCATGGCTATTTATCATATCACAGCCTGCATAGGTATTTGCATTTCAATATCCCCTACTTTTTTGAAAAGTATATTATGTTTCTCTGTCGGGACAGACTATAAGATGATGCGAGGTGCGTCATATTTTTGTTTAACAGTTTGATATGTGGTTGTGATGTGTGGTTGTAAGGGTATGATAGAGCACATTCGAGGACAGTCCCGTATGGCATGAACCTTACCACGGGATTCACAAGAATACATTTTAACAATGGGCTCTCTCCTGCATCATACCTAACTTTGTGAGAGGTGTTAAAGTAGCTAAGTCTCTAACTCAATATCATCAAAAATCTTTGACATTGAAAACACGAATTATTTGTCAATTCAAATCAGCATTGGTCTTGTGGTCTTACAGGGAAAAGATGGGCTTCTGATATTCAATATTCAAGACAAAATAAACATTTTACAATTGGTACACGAATCGTGTACCATAATGCGTTTCAGCGCAATAAATACCATCGGTGTAGACAGGAAAAACCAGACGCTAAAAATTGCCATTCACACGAGACTTCTGGGCGTATTTCGCTGAACATAACTGATTACAAATTACAGTAAATACAGAAACGATTGAATGTAAATCAGTTTATATAGATTCATATTACATTATCATATGCGTTGCGACCCATTTTTGTCAATTTCTAGGTCCCATATATTAGCGATTTAGCTCCTTTAATTAGAAGATGAAAAGACAAACATATTTTGCATAGATTATACAAGATTATCTTGTTGCAAGGTAACCACGCGTATGTGAATAACAACTTTGTAATGTTATGCATTTAAAGGTCCATGACAACTGCCTGAATTATTGATGATTCTGTAGTAATCTTAACCAGATCAACTCTTCCGAAGAATTAAATATTAATGATGCCACAATCTATAGTGAGTTAAGCGGAACGTTTAATAGTTTATGGCACATTTATGCGTATAGTTTACAGGGACATTTTCTAAGTGCCCGCAAGATTAACGATATTTTAAGAGTGAAATGAAATGGGGTTTAACGTCCTACTATGTTCTGTTCCGACTGGGCTAATGTAGACGGACATATTATGCCATACAGTGTGCTATGAGGGCAGCGGTACTATAGCCTACTCTGCCAAGGGATCTTTTACGTGCACGCCAATGTATCTACGGGGCCTCGGTTTTTCGTCCAATCCGAACGACAAGACAGCTGTCCTTGCCAGGCAATACGTCCTGCACCACTGGCGAGGAGAAACTACACCGTAAATTTTAAAAGAGAGTTTAAAAGGAATTTTGTTTCGAAATCAAACGACAATGCAAGAAAATTGCTCGACAAAACACAGAACAATTTGACATAACAAAAAATCAAAGCACCAACATCAAATTGCACTGACTATGTAAATAAGAGGATTATTTTAGGAAAGCTGCATGAACAATTAGAGTACTGTTATATTTATGATTAGAGGATTGATTTAATAAAGAATTATGTTAATCTAATCTTATGCGGATTATGTTTATATAACTGTATTTTGCGTTTTGCTTGATAATATTAATTTAGATATTCGTCTAAAATTATTATTAATTATACTAGAACAAATAATAATTAACAGTCATATTTCTGGATATATTTTCTCCACAGACATTTTTCCAATGTTTTACTAAAGATGCAGTTTAGTTTGAGATCCTAAATCTTATAATCAAAAAACAACATTGTAGCTAATTTATAATCCGCCTTTTCCAGCTTTATATTCCCGAAGAAATGGTCTGCCCCATTTTCTGTGGTAAACTGGTATATATGCTAAATACGAAATCGTACTTCCTCTAGAGTAACCGATCGCATGTACCCTGCGTTATATGTTTCTTATGTCAATTCGCCTCGGACTGAAATGAATTATATATAGATAGATTTACGAAAACCTAGTAGATAAATGAAATTGATCTTCCACAATTTATTTCTAAACGTGGAAATGAGTAATAATAAGTTACTGCCCATTATTATTAACAATTTCATTGGTCTTGACGATAGCTCAATGATTCTCAACAAGTGTGCCGCGAGATCTTCCTAAGTGTGCCGCGAAATTTTGAACGGCACACTAAGAAAATGTGAAAAAACCCACGTGATCCCAATTGAGTATCCACTGATAATTTCATAGCTGTGTTTTTCTTCATTTAGTTTGAGTCACTCGAAGTGTCTATGGCTATTCTCTGTCTACGGTTGTATGCCGTCTGACTTAACCATGTTTTTATTTTGCGAAATTCAGATATTTTTCATATATATTTAGCCAGGTTTGCCGCTATTTCTTCATGTTTTCCAAGGTGTGCCGTTGAAAAAAGGGTTGAGAACCACTGCGATGGCTTCTGAAACGGGGAATGTGTTACCCTGTCCCGAACTGTGGTGCTTTCGAAAAAACGCACTCTGTCCATAAAGCACAAAAACTACCATTTACTCTCTTCGAAATTTGTACACCAATATTGTACTACTAGCCGGGCAATAACTTTTAATTTTTCACGTTGAATGGTTATTGTCAAGGTTTCTTGCTAATTGATAATGTCACTAATTGCAATAATACAGGAGCATTATATACAAACCCCATTATTTTAATCATAGTTGATTGATTAATAACTATAACTGTTACATCTCGACCTACAAAACAAAATCATTAATCGCTAAAGTCCTTATTGGTTGTATCCGTAATTTACAGTTTGGCCAAGACGACCACGCCCTCTGTCGCCAATTACATAATACTCTTAGAAACGGGTGTTAACAACGGCGATTTAAGAGAGACGACAATCAACAGATTTGTCCAAACGAATCAGTCTGTAAGAAGCGTCGTGACTCGAAACAGGTAAGGCATTTAATTTATTTCGTAGAACTTCTTGATTAAATAAAGGGACCCTGTGCCGAAGAAAACTTTATCAATATTCTCGAAAAATCATCAAAAGAATATAATATTTAACTTCAGTAGAACCCTGAAATATATAGGTACAATTTTTACTTTTACACAATAATCTTGAATTAAATTAGAAAACTATGAATATATTGAATCGCGATCTTATACCGAATTAGCTCTCAGCAAAATGTCCATTGAATGACAGTTTTGGGTATTATTTTTTGATTCACATTCTTTAGGATAAATATTTTATAAGTAGCGTTGTTGTTGGTCTATAACAACATAATAGTGATCAGTAACAGAATTTGGATATAAGGATAAAGTTGTATTTGGATAGTACAAGCACCATGCTAAGTAAATGTTATATTGTTATTGAAGTGTTTTTATTGATCACATCAAGTTATGTTTGAATTTTTAAAATGTTTCTTTTTAATATTCCCACCATAGTTTATGCATTATTTTCGAAGTGATTATAGCTTTAATTCATAGCTTTAATGCATAAGGAATTATACACCAAACGTCGAAAGTTATGAATTACCATTTACATTTTTGTATCTTGATAGAGTGTAAATTACAATAATGAATAGTCCAAAGGGTTGGGTGAATAAAAGGCAAATACATGTATTGATAGTAGAGATTCCTACATTTCGTAGTCCAAACGGTATCTGTTTGTAAGGAAATATCATTATTTAATGGATGCAAAAATTGAAAATGTAATATAATCTACATTTGTAAGAAGTTATCACAATACGGGCATAGATAATGTCTTTTTTCAGATGTTGAGAAATTAAACCGAGGTTTAACCCCATCGTTTGCCTACCGAACATACCATCTTCCGTCTATAGATAAACAGTCTTGTGGTCTAGACGACACATTTGAAGACTGTAGTTATCCTAGTTATATATTTAATGCTGATTCAGTGGTAAGTATCACCCAAATCTTCATTTTTGAGGGGTAACCTGTCACAATTATGAAGTTAGCCCTGATGTAATTATTGATTGATTTAATAACTAGCCCGGTAATGGCGAGATTATTGATTATGGTAATAGAAATGGAACCATCTGTCAAGAGCGGGTACAGGGATTTGAAGTGTCTGTGTGTGTGACAAAGTCTGTTTCACTGACCATTATTCAAAATCAAAAGGCGGAGGACAGAATTTCGAGAAATTACTTCGGACAGAGCATACGGTAATTAACACCCAGGCGTTGGGGAAGGATGCATAAACTATAATTGCCGACTATAATGTTATCGCCAATAGTGGTATTGCCGTCTATACGTCATGTCTGAACGTTGTCTATATAATATGATAATATGCCAACCTGTTGTCTCTAAAGCACAATCTGAAAATATATTTCGATATCGTTCTAATTTAAGAGAATGGAAATGACTTTTATGTGAAATCGAGTATAGTTTTAGTATACAGTAAGCACGATTATTTTTTTTTTTTCAGAATTCCATAGATCCCATCAATTATTTACCTAGTGTACATATTAAAGATATCAAATTCTTTGATAAAGGTAAAGAATAGCCTAACTGACAATTGTAAAGACAATCGGTTCCGTTATCGCCTATATGGATTGTGACCAGTAACTAATTAATGATGATAGTCCGCCAATTTGTAGCAAGTCAACAAGTCTCCCCTCCCCACTTACCGACCTTTTTCATTGTACATTTTGTGACTTTTTGGTCTAGAACCGAAAAGAGTGCTTGCATTTACCTTTTCTGCCAGTTTTGGGTGAAGCGGAAGCATTATTAGGAATTAAACATACATTAATCGCCCACCAAACTGATGCACCCCATTTCTATCTATTCATTTGAAATATATACAGATATTACATTACGATCAATTTCATGAAGACGACTTGATTGCCATAACTATATGATACATGTTAAGCTGGATTTACGTTTGTTTCATGGTATTACTTCTCCTTTTATTTTTTATTTCAGCTAAAAATATGTCTAACCCTAATTTCATTGCCCAGTACAGAGAACCAAGTCTTTCTCCTTCTAGACACCCAGGTTATAAGTTAATGCGCCCAGAATATAGACCAGGTTTCCTCACAAGTCGTTCAAATACACAATACGGAGATATGGCTGCAACATCTAGAGCTATGAGAAATATGGCCACCGATGACATAGCTCTTTACAGACCTGGGTAAATATTTAAACTCATGCCAAACAGAAAGAGATAAAAAAAATAAAACCTTCTAACAAGAAAATATTAATAAAACCCCGAAATTTAGGATGAATACAATCTGATCAAAACCACTTTACAGATATAAATTACGTTTCGAAATACAGTAACGTTGTGGACTAATAATACGTTTAAGACTGGGTATTATTTAGTAAGGGTTTGGGGCTTTACGCCCTTTAAGTTGGGATGACAAACATAAGATATTCGATTTCTTTGGGTTTCTTTGATATTTGATATCAGGAGACATATTTTCACGGTAACATGAAATCATCACTATTGATTGCAATGGACCAATAATTCGCTTAAGACTGGGAATTATTTAGTAAGGGTTTGGGGCTTTACGCCCTTTAAGTTGGGATGGCAAACATAAGATATTCGATTTCTTTGGGTTTTATATATTGGTGTGTTTCGTGGAATGAGAACCAACCTTCGTTGAAAAGGTCTACCGACGTTGAATTGTGTTTGGTTGTCGAAACAGTGAGCCAAAAATTATAAACTACATAATATTAGTAAAACAAACCGGAGAAAGGTAGCAGAACATATACTTTCAAATTGGATTCATTTAATTTTATTCCACTTACTTTTCTGTTTAGACGTATAGCGCCAAGTGAAAGAAGCAGTCGTCCCCTTGCCCGTCATCAAGCAAGATTTAGAAGTATATCAAATAACGATGATTATATCCACAGTCGTGGAGTTTTTACGGTAAAAATGTATTTTGATTATTGTGTTGTTCGTCTTCATACGACTCTCCGTTTGATCACAATTCTTGTAAACCTAGATAATAAGTGTATAATAAGAGCACCATACCCCTGACATTAATGCCACGGCCACCTTATGACCATGATACATTTAGAGCGCTATAACCATTAGTTCAAACTTGATGTGATTTATTATTTGTGGGCTTGTATAAGTCTTGTAAATCATTGTAATTTGTCAGTTATAAGTGAAATGAATTGAAATGGGGTTTAACATCCTACTGTTCGGATTGGACTGGCCTAACGAAGACAAGTATACGCTTTAAAGTGTGCTACGAGGGAAATTTTGCCTGGGCAGCGGCGCCACGGCTTACTCTTATCGAATTCCAACTGCCTAGGGATATCTAGGACGGATCCATGATCGTGACCGTGCTTACGATCTATGACTCGTGCATAATTAAGTCGACGCGCCCCCTTGATCCTGAAAGAAGGGGCATTCACGCACACGCCAATGAGTACATACGACCTCGGTTTTTCGTCCAATCCCAACGACTATGGGTTGTCTTTTGCGACGCCCTCTGTTCTGCATCACTGACAAGGAGGAATCACGCCAGAAAACCCGGTTGAACTAACTTTCCCGGCCAACGCAGTTTAGTGAGACGTCTTTCTTGGCACTGTTCTACTGGAACTTGGCAAAGTCGCTTCGAGGCTTCAAATCTAATTTCTCTGCTGAAGCGATCCGAAAAGCTTAATCCTTGGCATTATTAAATGTTGTATAAGCACTATGCATTTAGCACAAGAAAATTTGCAAATACAAGAATGTCAGGATTTTGAAACAACACTACCCTTACGAGAATGTCTCTTCCATCCGTTAAAGACTCTAGATTAAAAGCAGAACAGATGTAACACAGCATGTTAATATGGCGTCTTATTTCCTTTTTTTCAGTCTACCACACCGAATGTCACAGGTCATTTTATCATCCACCCGGACTGGGTTTCTGAAAGAATGACTCCAAGGAAATAACTACACACTTATTACAATGGAATTTTTAAGTTATCTATATAGAAATTATTATTTGCATTGAAATTATTATTTGTATTGAAATTATTATTTGCATTGAAATTATTAAACATTATATAAACGCATTAAAAAAGTTTATTAGCGGACTGTATTTCACTATGACAACGATATACAAAAGTAAAATGTTCTCTTCTTATGTTTGTTTTGAACTTGTTCACTTGTTTTCCTTTTGAGGGAAAGTATTCTCTACTCTCATAAAGCCAATTTTTAGAGCCAGACAACTCGAATAAAATTATGGCCTATCATGTTTAGTGTGGAATGAAGAAGTTTCACGATCATTAATTATATTATGTCGCCGAAGAAACCAGCTGTTGCCATGCAACATATGCCCGCATTTTGCAAGAGATGGATGGAGAACAAGCTAAAAAAAAACGTGATTTTTCGTACAATCAGGTGCCATAATCCAGGAAGTTATGGTATGAAATGCGTGACTATCGTAAGGAACTGAGATCTTTGGGATATAAACATATTTTAAGTTTCATCAAAATCAGACAAAAATACAATCTTCGTATTCCATACTTTTACAGGGAGCGGTCATTTTGTTCGGCGGTTCGGTCCGATTTTCACGAATTTCGAACTCAGCCATCATCAGGGTGTAAAGATGATATAATCAAAATATTTTCGTACAATCAAGGGGCCATAATCCAGGAAGTTACGGTCCGATATATGCGCGAATATCAGGAATCAAGATCTTTGGTTTAGAAACATATATTTCGAGTTTCGTCAAAATCGGATAAAACAAGCTAAAAGCATGGTTTTTGGTACAATCGGGGCCATAACCCATGACGTTTATATACCCTTCGATGCATGCCAATATCGAAAGAAACCGAGATCTTTTGACCTTATTGCCGTTATTTTTGTGGTAATTACATACATTAGACTACGATATTCCTCATAACGAATTTTCAAAAAATATTTTTGCTGAAGTCTGGTTATATTAACGGGAATGGAATATTATAATTTTAAAACCCATTTCCTACCGGGACCTCATTGGCCGGTTCTGGCCGGTTCGTTTTAAAATGGATTAAGAACCCTGGTCCACATAATGGATTATAATTTAAACGAAAAATTAACAATATCAGCAAGTGATGCAATGGGCAATTGTTAAGATTGTTAACTGTAAGGCACTACTTTTATCCAAGATGTATAGATGACGCACAGGAAGTGATCCTCGAAACATACACCCTTGACATGAAGAAAAGTTTTCCAGGCGTTATTACCATGGGCCTTATAATATACAAAGCAGCAAAAGAAACGCCAGGTTGGTATGTTACTCTAAATAGACGCATTGCATAAAACTTACCAAATGTTTTTATTGTATATTTGTGACCACATCTCCAACTTTACCTAAGCAATAAGGCTCCTTCCCAAACATACAATTGAACCCAGGAAATGTTCTCAAAAACGCAACCTGACTTCTGAAATGATTTTCATGTAATTCATGCAGCACGTGCTGTTCACCGGGACCAGCCCTATAAAATGCACCCCATACCTAGTTGAATCATTCATACTACAACGTCAGCAGCATGCCGCGACTCACGACAGCTCAGAGGAACCAGGCGCTTGGAAGACTCGACGCTGGCCGCACATGCCCAAGCCGTTGCCAATCACTTCCAAGTCAATGTTCGGACCAACTACAGGCTTTAGCAACGCTTTCGAGCCACCAACACCACGGATGATCGCCCCCGAACTGGTAGACCAAGGGTAACCACAAGGCAACAAGACCGCCATGTTGTGCGACAGCACGTGCAGAATCCCTTCACACAGGCATCCGAGACAGCACGTCAGACAGTAGTGGAAACACACGGAAGAACCATCAGTACCGATACAGTGCACCGACGTCTCACCAGAGAGAACATCCATTGCCGTAGATCTTACCGTGGACCGATACTCACCCCTCGCCATCGACGTGAGCGTCTACAGTTTGCCCAACACCACCAAAACTGGCGATACAGGCAATGGCGAACTGTTCTGTTCACAGATGAGAGTCGGTATTGCGTATTAACTGCAGATGGCAGGACCATAAAAAGGTGTCGACGTGGCCAGCATTATTCTGACCAATGTGTCATGGAGCGAGATTCATTGGGGAGGTCCAAGCATAATGGTTTGGGGTGGAATCGGCCTGAAGCAGACAGTGGGTCCTGTGGTGTTCCAAAATCTTAGTCCAGAAAATAGCCGTGGGTTCAACTCCTGTCTCTAATTCATTTTGTATCAACGGTAGAAGGGGTGAAATTTACCCATTATTTTTTTGTGTTCAGATCACAGGGGGGCTGTTGCGATTGTGTATCAACCTTTGCCAAACTAACATAAATCACATATTGCTGCCGTGTCTTAAAAGAGCAACACTTTCAAAATATGAAATGAAAATGCAACACTGATTTGACTGGCAAGAAATAATGGAGGTTGTCAGGCACCTGTGTTTAGTAAGATGTTATTTGGAGTTACCCCCCTTCAATAGTTATTAGGTAATGCTAATGTACACTTCCATGTCTGGAAAACAGAGACTAGAATATAAGTGAAGTAAGTAGGGAGAGGGAGAGAAAAAGCACAAGATGCATGGTGGCATCATGCCCGTAGCCAGTGGGGGGCAAGGGTGGGGTTTTTATTTTTTTGTATACCGCTTTATATTGAACATCATACGCAAACATATGCAAAATAGGTCTACATGTGATCATTTTACACAGTTGTAACTGGCCGAAATGGAATCTTTGCCCCTGAAAACATATTTATTGACACCAAACACTACCACTTAACCGAAATCAGCACATCGTCCGATTTCCCCGCCAAAAATGGTCGCCATCTTGGGAATATCTTCATGAAGTGATGGAAAAAATCTGAAATATTGTCACGACCCCTGCCAACATTAATACATTGCTAAATCACAGTTGATATGTCGATAACATTATAAATAAGATGAAAATTAAAAAAATAAGTTGGAATATTATCGCAAAATGGCTACCCATACTATGAAGACCTACTCAGAAAAAATGTCAACATTGGTTTTCTATCATTAGACATCAAAACCTTCAAAATAAAGCTTATTCCACGATTTCTACCCGAAAAGCCGACGAATGGAAATTATGTAACAGACCCAATCGGATTACCAATCGAAATCTGAATGGTCCAGACAAGCATCAACTTGAGACTCTAGGATATTTTGATGCAGATTTAAAGTGGTAAGGTCAAACTCACAGAAAACTAGTCTACGTCATAGATAACCTAAGTACACCTTTATTAGGTAGGAGTGCATGTCAGTCGCTTGGTGTTGTTTTATTTCTGGGTAACTTGGATAAAATGTCTTCCATAGAAGAAGAATTCCCTGAACTTTTTAAAAGCTTGGGAAAACTTGAAGATCCTTATGATATTGAAGTAGCAGAGGATGCTGTTCCCTATTCAGTTAATGCACCGAGAAGGACACCTTTACCATTAATGCCTATGGTAAAAGAAGAACTTAAGCGACTCGAAGATTTAAAGGTTATTACTCTAGTTGATGTACCAACTCCATGGAGTCCTCCGCTTTGTATTGTACTGAAAAAGAACAAAAAGCAAGTCCGCGTTTGTGTTAATTTAACTAAACTGAATAAAGCAGTTAAAAGAGAGCGTCATATACCTTCTTCGGTCGAACATGTCTTAGGTCAAATGGCGGGTGCCAAGGTGTTTTCCAAGCTAGACGCGAATTCAGGATTCCATCAGATTGAACTTACAAAGAAAACATCGCTGTTAACTACCTTTATGAGCCCTTTTGGTAGATATTGCTATAAGAGACTGTCGTTTGGAATTTCATGTGGCCCAGAAATTATTTATGAAGAGAATGTCTAAAATCTTAGGTCTTCAAGGGGTTGCGTGTCTAATGGATGATGTTGTATATGGTTCATCTTACGCCAATCATGGTGTAAACTTACGGAAATCTAAATGTGAAATTAGAAAAACCCAAGTTAAGTTTTTAGGCCAAATAGTAAGTGAATATGGTGTCCAGGCAGATAAGGACAAGGTTACTGCTATTAAAAACTTTCCACGACCTAAACTGTTTCAGACGTTCGACGTTTACTCGGTATGGTTAATCAATTGTCAATATTCATTAGTAGGCTAATTTAGCAGAGATTACAAAACCGCTACGTGATTTGTTACATATATCCAAAACGTGGGTATGGGATACAGCTCAAGATAAATCGTTTCAGGAAATCAATAAAGTATTAAGTGATACAGCTGTGTTAACATTATACAATCCACACTTGGATATCAATGTAAGTGCGGATTCCTCATCGTATGGTCTGGGTGCAGTTACATTGCAACGGTATTCCAGTGGTTGGCGACCAGTAGCTTTTGCGTCGAGAAGCCTAACAGAAACGGAACAAAAATACGCACAAAAAGACAAAGAAGACTATTTAGTTGGGCATAGAATATTTCTCATTGAAACTGACCATAAACCGTCAGTCCCTTTGTTAGGTACTAAAGACTTAGACAGTCTTCCTATTAGAATTCAACGTTACAGATTGAGGCTAATGTGTTATTCATACAGCATCGTTCATATAGCAGGTAAAAATGTGTGTATTGTGGATACATTATCTCGCGCTCCCTATTCTGAAGCAGATCTTATTTTCCACAATGACACACATTAGTATCAGACCTTCCTCTGAAAGATCAACGCTTGGATGACATATGTGCTCAACTGGAAGCGGACCCAGTTTGTAAAGATTTCATTTCATTATGTTTAAATGGTTGGCCTAGTGCAGTTCATAGTGTTAAACCTCATCTTAAAACATATTTTGCTTATAGAGGAGACCTAGCTGTAGTTGATAATTTGTTGATGTGTGGCACTAGAATTGTCATACCAAAATCTCTCCAGGCTGATATTCTTGGTAAACTACATGAGGGGCACCTCGTAATTACAAAGTGTAGAGATCGTGCGAAACGTTCTGTTTGGTGGATAGGACTAAGCTCTCAAATATCAGACTTAATTTCAAATTGTGCTGTATGTTGTAAACAAGCTGCAGTGAATAAGTTTGAACCATTAGTTCCCTCAGACTTTCCTGAAAGACCATGGCAGAAAGTTGCATCTGATTTATTTGAGTTTGAAAATA